GGGGGGGGGGAGAGAGACAGAGGAAAAAATTACCGAAGCAAAACCAATATCCGTTTCGCAATTGCCTTAAGCCGGATATCTAATAATATCTATTTGTTTGCGACTGCTTGAAGCGCGTCGAGCTGAAAAAAATTGCCTGAATCCTCTTTGCATCATCCTTCTTCAATGTACATTTTTTACCATTTAAATCACGTTTGTAATGAAATATTTTATACTTACCAATAGGAAAATCAGAGCACATAACTGATTGCTTGAATGAAAATAAGTTCGTGAAATATAAAAGTCACAACCGATCCTTCACCCATTTATAGCGACGATCGAAGCTACCGGAATCTTTTATCGTCCCCGCCATAGTAATCGTTAATCAAATTTACGAACCGCAATGCCGAGCAACTGACAGTATTTTCGGTGTATTTGAATATTTTTAGATTTTTTTTCTTTTCCTCCCCATTAGAAATTGATTTTTTATACCTCTCGTGATATTAACATTAGCTTCAATCACGAATCGTCTCTCTCTTTCTCTCTCTCTCTCTCTCTCTCTTTCTCTCTTTCTTCTAGGTACTTTGATTATGAGAAATTATTTAAAAAATTGTATTCCATCTAATTGTCCAATGTTTTCACAGTCTTATTGCGATTTTTTATTTCAAATTAAAAGTAACCTTCGACTTGGACGTTCCATACTCGCCATGGTCGCACAGAATTCTCGTTTACATTTTTACCGCAGTCTCAACTGATCGATAGAGACTAGTATCGTATTATTCCTGGGTACCTGCAGTTGGATCAATTTCTCAGGCAGCTAAGTCATCGGTACCTCCTGGGACAATTTGGGATAATGTTACGTTGCCCCCTTGAAGTTTAAATACAATTTCACGAGTTCTTCGCGACGATCAATAAGTCGTGAACCAAGTTGGATGTCATTTCTTATCAATACTATCAAGCATAACGTGATCAGAAATTTACTTAATATTTATCACAGTAGCAAAATTTTCTTTTTTTTTTAAATTAATATATTTGACCCTCCTTGGGCATCCAAATGAAAAATAAGCGACCTCGATTTTTCTTTATATGTTCTTGTCCGGCTTAATGACCGATCGATACACCCCTGAGTGGTTCCCAACGCGTTACACTTACCATTCAAGGGTTAAAGATTTTTGTTGAAAGGGTGGGGAAGTTGTAATTCCGTTTAGTAATTTAGCACGTGTACCTACTATGAGCCGGTATGATTCTGCAATGCAAGGGTGCGGCCCAAGATGGCCACTACAGCTGTAGACACCTTTGGCTACTCGTATAGGAAGTCACATCGATTTTTCAATAATTAAAACGCGGTCTAGTCCTCGACTCCTTAAGATTTCCTAATCAGCCATCCTAACCTTAATAATTTTGAGTATTAATTACCCTCGACAATTACTACTGATTAAGTCTTGTTTCTGAAGCGGCGCAAAGGAGAGGCATGGCACCCATGAAGAAGCCCAGCGGTAAGGGGAAGCCGCGAACTAAACAGCCGAAAAAAGTGAAATTCATCAGTGAGTATAAAAAAAGTCTGGGATGAGTAATCAAAAGAAGTAAAAAAAAAGAGACGTTACTATTAATTACTCGATAAAAGCAAATTAGAAAAATTTCGAAATAAGACAACCTCGCTAAAGCTTTTTCAAATAATGCTTTTTTCGTAATGTCCTACCCATTTCATATTGGTTCAATTTCACGGACGATAAATTCGTATATCACTGTTGAACTAATGCCAGATTCCCAATGCATATAATGTATCCGTATACCAATGTACAGTGCATTAACCTACGATATCTGCTAGTGATATATTACTATAGTGAATAATAAATGTGAATGGTAGCAGATTGGCGATGGAAAATAAAAGTACTGAGCGTACGGGGTTGGTAGCTCAGGGTGAGGGTGTTCCGAGGGGTGGGAATGGTTGAGCGAGGGGTAGAAGCCGATGCGGTGCGTGTGCCGACGCTAGACGTCGCGGCGCCTAGAGACAATCGTCCCGTGGACAGATCGATCCTTCCTTCTCGCGAATCTGAGTCATACTCTTCCCGTTGCACTCACGGTTAGTTTCCTATTTCGTGGATTATAGGAGAAACTTTATGGAGACTGATTACCGTACTACTGTTAGAATGGTCCAGGATATGGTATAGAGAAATAATTAATTAGATTGATAAGAGACGTAATCGATTTAATATTCTACACGCTGCCTACGAGTACTTGTATCATGCTAATTGGTTCCATTAGAAGGATTCATTATGCCTGATTAGACTTCGATTATTCTGTAATTAATGAAATATTGGTATATAATATATCTATAAATTGCTTAGCGACGGAAATTCGATGCCAGGAGAAATCAAAGGGTGGACTCTGCTATGAAGTTATTCTTGCTGAACCTACCGTGCCTAAGAGGGCACCGTCGCCACCCCAGCCAAGTCCTACCCAACAATCAGCTATTGAAGATAAGCTCAGGGCGGCTGAAGAGAGAAGACTTTCTCTGGAAGCTCACAAGCTTGCTGCTCTTGCTGCTAAGCTCAGCAAGATTGAGGAGGTTTCACGTAAGAAGGATCTTCTCAGCGTGGCTTTCATAACAGCTACTCGTGAGTCTTTGGATGCCAAGATGAATAACACTGAGGAGAAGCGAGAGGCTCACATTGCTGAGCTCAAAGGAAAGCTGAAGGAACACGTGAGTAGAATGTACATTGATAAAATTTTTCGCAAAATTTCCAATAACTGACGATCCTCCTTTTTTTATATATATAGCTGGAAAGTGTTGAGAAGACTCGTCTAAGTCTGGAGCAGCAGACTGAAGAAGTACGTAGCGCTGTGGAAGAGAAGCTGAAGACTGCAGCTGCTCAGCGCGATGAGAACATCAAAAAAATGCTGGATCGTCTCAAGGAACACGTATGTCTGCTTAAGATATCATACTATTGTGAAGGATTCTAATTAATATTTGTCATGAATTACAGGAAGAACAAGTAGCTCGCGTACGTAGCGGTATGACCGAACGTGTCCAACAGCTGGAGACCCAAATCCAGGGTAAATTGGACCAGGCTCGTGAACGTCGCGAGACCATTGAACGTGAGCAAAAGGAAAAGCTCCGTAACCACGTAAGTCATCGAGAACCTCAGTATCTCTCATAGTGTAGTTAACCCTTGGAGGAACATGAACACAATCTCCATTACGATCGACTAAATTCTATGTGATCAGCATCCCGTTAAACGTATTTAACATAACTGGTTTAGAACACGGTGAAGATAGCGAAAGCTGCGAAGATGCGCGAGATGGCGGATGTGTGCGCCATGAAGGAGCTCGAAGCGAAAAAACGCGAGTTCGACATGAGGGTGACCACTGCCGAACTGAACCGACAGCGGGAGATTCAGCGTCGCGTGCAGGCTATTCGCCAGCATGTAATGCAATATTCAATTTTACCTAACGGTTTTACTGTACTTCAGTTTATTTTCTTTGGCAATAGCCGATATTTCAGTTTTACGTGTCACCCTCTTGCCACTGTAGAAATTGTTCCCGGCTTCTGTTCCATTAAACGACTATCTTATCTTCTTTTTTTACGCAGGAAAAAGAAAACTACGCAAGATCTGCTATAGCTGTATAGTTATTTATATATTTTGTAGATTATTCCTTAGCTTTATTTTTTACTTTGCCGTGTTCTGTCTACGTACTCATAGAATGCTGCTAGGCGTCCTAATTGTATAACGTGCAATCACAATTTCTTTGCAGCCTACCTATGTTACACGTAGATACATGTGCTACTTCCTCAGAGATTCTCCTTGTATCATTGTGATTGTATATATATTATTTTCTTCCGTCTTTGCAGGAGAGACGCGCCGAGATTGTGAGACAGAACAAAGCAGCCCTGGCCAGCCAGGAAATAAAGTCCGAGGAGCAAACCGCATTGCCAGTGGAGAACGAGACTGCCAGCTCAGGCTAAGCTGCTATCAGCAAGTCCATCTAAAAAAAAAAAAATAATCTCTCGATCTTCTTACACTTAACTTTGGTCGCAGCGTCCAGGGATTAGTGTAAGGCGTTACGTACGTCGTGCGTTACGAATTTCTTGCGATAGAAAACGGCTTTTGGTGTTACCACCTCGGGTCGCGTGGTTCGCTTTCCTTTTTATTTTTCTTCAATAAGATGAAGGACTCCAAAAACGGCTTCTCAAAAGAAACAAAATCTTGGAACGGATTGTCTAGACTTATGGGGTAAAGCGGAGTTGTATTTAGACAGAGAGGTGGGAAGAAGTCACTACGTTATGATAAATGGAATTTCGTGCTTGCCATTAAGTTTCTGCCTTGCGAGAAGATGTACGTTCGCGAAGAAGTACAATAAGGAAAACTAATTATAATATATGAAAGATTCACTAAAATAATCATACACGTACATACTGCCTTCTCGTAACGTTCTCTTTGCACAGAAGACTTTACATGATGCGATCGGAAAACGCACTGCCGAACGTTCATCCTCGTTCTTGATACTCAAATTACAGATCCACGCGACTTATTTTAGAATAACGATGTCACGAGAGCCGTTGAAGGTCTCGATACATCGTTAATTTTGCTTTTTGCGAGTCATAATAGAAGTAAAAAAGGAAATGCGTTGCTGGTAACGATATCTCACTGAACGGTTTTTTTTTGAGAGGGGGATCAAGCGTGATTTTTATGTTTATGATGTAAAGTGTTTGAGCATCGATTCTTCTCATTCAAACACTACTATTATTACTACTGAATTCGTTTTTTGTTTTGTAATATGTATAACTTTTCACGCAGTTTTATCGAAGACTATTTTTTGTATTGTCATCAAGGTTTTATTTTTATTTTTTTCTCTTGGTAACCGTGATATCATTATCTCTATGATTAGTCTATTGTGATGTCGGCTTTGGGGGTGAGAATTTTTAACGGCGGGGGGACTCGAATGAATCCAGGAGATTCGCGGAGGATTGGTCATGGGTGATCTTTCATCGGGCGATAAAGTAAATTCTTGTTTCGGGACCGATCGACTATTCTTATTTTTATTTTACTTTTTATATCATCGGTCTCGGCTATTGCACAATTTCTCCGCGGCGCTACTGTTCGATTCGATAGCGTAAAGGATAGTTTACTTACCGCTACAATTAGATCTTAAGAGACAAGTAACACGATAATATGAATGTGTATGTATATGAGTGAATATATATATTTGTTTATATGTCATATCAGTGTTCACTGAGTATGCAGCATACACACATGGCACAGCATATGGTATGTGCTATATATATATACATATATATATACACGTATATATGTACACATATGAATATAAATATTATATAGTGCTTTATACTAGGCTTGAGAACTTTGAAACCATTTTGTACTCGATCATTGTAATAATACTGCGCTAACTGAGAAAAAAGGTACGAATATGTAGTCTAATTATATATGATAATACGATGCTTTTATGATGACTTCAATATTTGTTGATATGTCTAGTTATATCTATGAGAGAATTCTGATACGTTTTGTGCTCGAATCGCCACACCGTGACTACAAAAAAAGAGAAAGAGAGCAAAAGAATAGAGAATCATTCCCAACCAGAGAAAGAACGCATGAGGATCTGTGCGATATTTTATTTTCCATGGTTTCAATGAAATCTGTACGTTAATTCAGTGGCCATGAAAGAAAAAGATCTTTGGCTCTAGTTACGGTCGCGTCGTGTAAAAACGTAGGGATGATGAAGCAACAATGACGTATCAGTGAAGCTGCTGATTATTATCACAAGGAGATCTTAGACATTCAGGCTAAACGTAAACGTATTGAAAAAAAAAACAATGATCAAAGATGCAAGAGTAATACTGTGGGGAAACTGATGAAAAATTACATGGCTACTGGCAAAAAAGAGATAAATGAAATTAAGTAACGGAGAGAATGCCGATGGGGAAGGAAAAGTGGATGGATGCTAGTATGAAATAGAAATTTTATGACGATCAAAAATGGTAGCGCGCGAGCTCCCTAGCGTTTTCATTTTACGGTTGGATTATGCGATCGAATTATCGTTATTTCTTTATTCGTGATTCGATCAACCGTGGCTAAAAGATGTGAGCATAATCGATCGTAATTATTTAAATTATACCTACAATAACCGAGTATCTTGGAGGCGTTTGAGGCACGTGTGTGTGACTTTTCTTGAAATTGCGATATGTATCGGATAATGTCTATTTTTGCATAATTGTTGTGATCTTTTGCAAAACGTATCTCGTATAATTATTATATAGGTGCCGGAAGTATGTAATTAATTATTGTCTCTTCTCGCTTTACGTTTCCACACGACCTATACATATGTTCATATATATATATAGATATATGTATACGTACGTTTATACAGATTTTCACGCAATGATGATAAATGATGATGATCATATATGGTTGCATTGTACGTATGGTTTCTCGTGAGCTTTGGTATTGTCTTAGTGGAACAGAGTAATCGAAATGATTCGAACAGTTTATTGCGGGAAAGTAAATGCAAATAAATACACGTTCGTATAAAAAAAAGAGGTGAATGCATTTGATTTAGATAAACATCCATCAGATCACAATTTTGAAAACCTTCGGAAGCCGCTGGATCATTTTTCATCTATCTTTTCGCATGTCCAACCCGTGCTTAATCTTGCACATTCGCAATTTTTCAACCACAACAGTAATCAAAGCCAGCATCGTTTAAATTCGTTACAAAAAAAAAGTAAATTACTCAGCTGGGAATCATTCCAATATTACAGAGCAATGTCGCATTGGCCCAATGCTCTTCGTGATTCAGTGTTTACCACCTTATGACTGTTGAACACGTTTTTTGTTATTTCTTTTTTTTAACCTCCATTTCGGAATATCCCGCAATAAAATTGGCTCAAGCAAAAACAATCTCAATAACGTCAGTTGTCGTTTTCCATAAAGGGAACCGGTTTCCTAAACGAATTGCACTGTTTCTACGTCGGAAAATTGATTAACCCACGTTGAGAAGGTCGTGAAACTTACGCAAAAATATAGGTCAGCAATCGGATCGACCTTATGAGATGATAATTGAATCCGTGTTATAAGAATACTACGAATTATCTGAAAATTAATTACAATATTATACGTATTTATTAATTTCCAGCATTTCTAACATATGTGTGTCTGATATGGTAGGATTGTTACGTATGTAGAAACTTTTGAAGAGTACTTAGACTTCCTGATGAGAGTAAGTCTCGGGTGGCTGCTTTGAATTTGTTTTAGTTGTAAAGTGTGAACGATCATTCCAACGTTCTTCAACGCCAGTATTTCAAAAGGAAAATATTATACGTGATGGGGTTCGTTAGGATCCAGTACACTAATTACAGGTTAGTTTGTGTAGTAATTTAGCGTGATACTTAATCCTAATGAGTACTTTTTTATTTTCAATTATTTTTCCTTTACGATACCCGATGTACGCATTTGGCTGTGTTGCGCATGTGTCGTGAAAAATTCACGTGATTCTGGAGAGTCGGTAGTAACAAGATATAATTGCAATTTACTTTGTCCTACGACGTTAATTGACTTAATCATTATATTAATTAATCTGACGTATTCAATCGTACTAGCGAAAGTAGAATATAGTTATCACTACGAGAATTTATTGTGATGAATTTTCTGCAAACGGATAAATCCATGTTACCGATTGAGGGATTGTTGGTAAAGTAGAGTCAGCTTTTCAGATAGTCGGTTTCCATTTGTCGATCACGAGGGAGCCCCGTACCTTGAGTAAAAGAAAAGCCGTATATTGAAGATTGGATAATCCCGTGACGGTGTCTCACAGTGAATTATTTTATAATTGACAAGAATTACTATACGTCATGAAGAGGATTCGTTGGTTTAAAGTTATATTACATAAGAGAAATATGAGAGAGAAAAGACTGCTTAGGAGGGACGCTCTTTATACGTCCCTGAATATAGTGACGTCAGGAGTGGCCAGAATGGCCGTAAGCCAAAGGCTGAACGAAACGCCGAGGAGGCTTTATAGTATAGCAGGCAGAGGGCAAATGGCTGCCGTACTGGTGAATAATAATGTATAGCTGTCGTGTAGCTCGCGCGAAAAATTGTGTCGAAACCCGTGTAAGATGCTATTGAAGGCCCATACGTCGAGGAAGAAGGACCGGAGGCATCATGGGAAAAGGGCCAAAGTCACCGCCGGTAAGTGGAAGCCCTGATATGACTGGGATATTCGAAATGGTTCGCCTAGCAGTCGACGAGATAGCCCTGCTGAGTTTAGGCCAGTCGCCTTTAGCTCAGCTGCCTTCGCATCGACAATATCAACACAATATGGCCGTAGTATGTTTCACGCTCTTCTACGATTCCCAAGTCCAGGAGTCAAGATGTTTTTTTAGTCTTGTCTATTCGTTTTGATATTGCTGCACGATTATAGTCGTTATCAAAGAACATTCTATGCTTGTTTTTATTTTGCTGTTGCTTCTATTACCAGTGCCATTTTTATCATTCTACATGTAAATAAATAACCATGTCGCCGTCTGAGACTCTGATGCTAAACTGAGCATTACGTGTCTTGAATTGAAACTATCTAACAAAATTCAAGGACAGCTTTCAGCGAACCATTTCGCAATATTCACTTTTTAGTAATCAAATGATCGTTCTGTTATTGTTACCTAAAGTCATTGCAATCTGTTCATTCTATGAAAGTCATACTTGTTAGGTTAGGTTAGGTTATGTTGTTATAACTTGGTGTATGATCCGAAATTCACTGTCAGTAGTACGAGCATGGTTGTGTAACACTCAGTCGAACGTAGGTAAACAGGAACGCTGCGATACTTGTAGAATTGGTAGTGAATTTTAGAATGTATCCTTCGTAGGCCTCTGTCAACCTAGCATATATATAAATTTTATACGACTACGGAGAAGAGGGTAATTTGGTTGGATGTAATGTTTCTTTTTAATTTATAAGAAGCAAGTTCTTTTTGCATCAATCATAGTTCTGTAGTTTCTTATATTCGTGAGCACAAACAGAGATGCTGACGATTTCTAAGTTTTGTTCCAGAGTTCCCAACGATTCTCGAAGAGTTTTACGGAATACTATGTATTTTAGCCATAGTTCCATGTAAAAAACAACTGTTTTGAACCATTGTTCCTCGTAGTTCCGCCAGCATTTCATACGCCCATGCAAATGTGACATGCTAATTTCTTCGAAGTTTTTTTTTCTAAAGTTCCCAGCAGTCTCGAAATACATATATCCCTAATGCTAATTTGAAAACAAGTACAAGATGCTGATGAGCGTAAGAAAAGAAATGTTTAAGATTCTTTTCTAACAGAACTGTGGCTTACAAAAATTACAACAATTTTATTATTACGAATCAATTGTTCTGACCCTGACATTAGCTCACATATGCACATCATTTGCAATAACAACACAGAATATCATCTGGGAAAGCAACCAACAATTTTTTTTTTTCGTCCGACACATTAGATTTGACGTTTTGATATATTAAAAAGCTCAGATTAGACTCTGGCTCAGCGATTTCAGAAACTTTAAAACACCAAGTTTTATCAGCATCCGATAACCTTAATTTCTCGCGAAATTCCTGGTCAATTTCTAGTATTTTAACGTCACGAAAATTAGTATCTCAGTTTTTGGGGTTGCGACTTTTTTTTTTTAATTAATAAAACTAGAGTTAAAATTTATCAAAAACTAAAGCAGTATGTCAGATGGAAATAGAAGTTGTTTCTTTATTGATCAATTAAAAAAAATGTTCTGCTAGGTTCATGCAGGCCATTTGTGTATACAATCCTACCTAGCGAATATAACATGACATAACATTTGAGATTGAAATCAATGTGCACGGTACATATAACATTATTTTTGTCAGTAATACACAAAGCATTTAATCATTTAAGAACAAATGTTTCCAATTTTCGAGGTGCCACTTCGATCGGTTCTCTCTTTTCCGTATTCAAATGCACAAGCAGAGACTATATTGTAAATTTTTAGTGATGTGAAAACTAAGAAAAAAAAAATGTACTGAATAACCAGTGTCTCAATTCAATTAGCCAATTCCTATTTCGCTTTCGAAATTCCATAAATTCTTCCACATTTAGGGTTGGATCCAATCACATGCAATTACACAGCAGTGATAATTTGTATAGAAAGTTGGAAGCCTTAAATTCTAATACCGAGAAAAGCCAATACAGTAATACGAATATGGCGGCTCAGTGATGGGACAGTGAACTGCGCATGCGCAAGGAAGTTCCGACATGTGGGATAAACTCTACCATCTGGCAACGCTGGTCGGTATCGTATCCATATTTCGTAACTTATTGCAAATCGGCTATAAATTTCAAACGAAAATTATACCTACGTTTGATTGAAATATGCGCATAACAGTGACGTAAACAATGAATCCATTGTTAGACCAATTCCGATATAAAATTTTTCAAGATTTCATATCAGCCAACATATTGTTCAGAAACAACTCTAACAACACGTACCTACTTTAGTTACAAACTTTGACGCGGAAGCTTTTCGTTACTTCAATCAGACCTCGTAACTCGTGCCTGGGTCTTGAAGTCGTAGCTCAGACCGCCATTGTTATTTATAAGGGATCGGTTGGCAATGATAAATTGATCTGAACTTCAGTCATTCATCTCGCAGCCTCTTCTACTTCTCTTTTCTCTCTATCCATTACAAAACTCGCGCTCACTTGTTGACGCTGAGACTTCGAGTTATCACAGCGCGTTTTATTATTGACATTTTACTCTATGAGAAATATTATTATCATGCCGCGTGCTTCTTCCAAGCAGAAATCACGTTGCACGATTTGACGCTGCTCGGCCAGCACGCGATCATCAACTTATTATCATGACTTATCTAATGACTTCTAAAATGTCTGGCAAACTGTGAAACGAAATATCCAATAAGATCCTGTATGGAAAATGCGCGATCCGTCCATACTTTGCTCTCGGAAACTTCTGAAGCTCTAACTGCTGGACATCTAGTAGACATAATAATGATGCAGCTACAATACGTTCGGGTATAGTCTCGGTCGGTCGCTTGCCTGTATCGCCTCTATCGCCTGTATCGCCTGTATCGCCTGTTGATTGTACTTGGCGCGACACTCGACTCGAGCTTCTTGATCGGTTGAATTTGTCAGCTATCATTTAATTTAACATGATTCGTCAATATTTCTATAGTCAATCGAAACCTCTCTGAAACAGTCGTTGGCATATTTGCTATGAATTTTCAATATGGTTTTATCATATTCTTTGGCGCGAAAGTTGTCTGGATTTGTATGTACACGCGGAATGTATTATCAGTTCCTAAATAAGAGGTCAGACAGACGCCATTCTTATGACGAATTATTATTAGTGCAGAGGGTGCATACATTTATCCCACATATATCCTATTTACAGAGCATCGATGGATGCGTAGCTCGCGTTACCAGTAGGTAATTGTATAGGTACATTTGTTGCCATGACGATAAAGACACGGATCGATGCCTTCAACCTGGAACGCATAAAATCGATTTTCTCTCCTCAT